TTCATAGCCAAGCGTACTGCGGTCAAGAACAAAGTAAGAAATTACGTGGCGAGACCATCCCGATTTCCGGGTTCGGGTGCGTTTCATACAAGAAGATCGATACGCACTACACCGCCAAGTGTAGTAGACATAATCCCGATGGCAATAGGAAGTTCGAAGGAAGCTAATACAGTTGATTTATAACAGACGAAATAAATGGAAATCACTTTTCAGTCCTCGTTGAGGCACAAACGTAATTAAATGAGTTGGTAAACAAGAGAGTGAGACGATGGCAACTCCACGTTGTGGCAGATTTACACACTACTTCAGTTCGACTAAAGTTTACAAACACCACCGTCAGTCACACAAAGTCCCCCAAATTCAAAAGGGATTTTTAAATGCGTTGGGGAACAGGTGACGAACAATTGTGCATACTCATATGACGACTCCACGTTATAACGCAGCGAGAAAATGGCAATTTAAACTTTGCTTGCAGATTTTCACGGGGCAGATTTACATAATACTACAGCTCGATAACACGGCCAGTCACACAAAATCCATCAAAAGGGAACTGCAAGTTGTATAATGCCAAAACAGTACCATGATTTCACAACTTTGTAAATACGTTCGCTTGTATCGATGTCCACTGTACACCAGTAAATGTCTTCCTGTTCGCAAGAACACAAAGCCTAAACTATCAGAAATTCATATAATTCGAGTGGTGGTATAACATAATAACTCATTATTTGTAAATTCAATTCATCGAAAAAGTATGAAAAACATTTTCATAAACAATTTTTATTAAATAAATACAATTTGAAAAGAAACAAGATTCATAAACATAAATCTATTTGAATACATTCTCACTACAAATTACACAACACTTATTTTATAATGGAGTTTCTTCACAGCACAAACTATTGGAATCATGCACACGTGTGAGTACTTCGGTGACACATTTTATAGCTACACCCAGAATAGTCCATCATTTATTGCGCAACTGTGACCAAACTACATCGTTCTGCTAACATCCACACATTTTCATAAAATTTCCATGGACTTTTTGACCTTTCATAAGTAAAATACACTACAATTTACTCCAGAAACACTCCTACATTCTTGCATACTAATGAGGGGTTCAGACACATTCCAAGCTGAACAATTTTCTTGGACTAATAACAAAGCTGCTCAATCTTTTCCCAGCAATAACAAACTTGTTTAGTCTTTTTCTAGAAGCTATCATTATTGGTAAACAACTAATGTAGCCGTGATAAATTTGCCGTGATGAATTTTGGAGCTAAAATTAGCTGATTGTATGTCGTCACATTTACTTAATAATATCTCTTCAATGTTCTCATTCATTTAAGGAAACTATTTTAATATATATATATATATATATATATATATATATATATATATACATTATGCATAGGTAATTGTACAATAGATTTTTGGTTTCCATTTTTTTCAACATCCATGTGAATGATGCATGTTACAAAAGGTCAAGAGTCAAGTGCCACGCCCACTCCACCTTCACATTGGCACGCCCTGTTTAATTTTCAAACCGTGGAGAACCCTGTGAACAATGTATTTTAAATGTGTTGGATACACCTCTTATTAAACAAGGCACAGCTAGAGCAACAAGGAAAATCAGGTTCCATTCATTTTATCAATTCATGTAACAGAATCAGCTGAAAATCACTATAATTTCCTCTGTGAAAGTCAATGACTCTTTAAAACCTCAGTAAGTTACCAACTCTCTAGGACCATAGTGGTAGTTACTGTGACTCCACTGTCCTACTAGTAAAAGTCACCAATTCTCTAGAACCATAGTGGCAGTTATCCACTGATATTGCACCTTTGGATCTATTGGAAACGTGTGAATACTTACACTATTACTATACGTATTACTGCAACCGCCCACAACACAGCGTTTA